TTTCTCAATGTTGAGTTTACTCTCTATCTTCTGAAGCTGATACATCCTTAGGCACAGTGTTTATTCCCAAATCAAACATCCAGAAAGCTAAAGATTTTTTAATAGAATTTTTATGAACAACAACAACAGAAAGAATAACTGAACAATTTAAGGTTGGAGATTTAACTCTGCAAGGTAACTTCTGGAATGTGCATTCGTGTCGGCTCCCATCCAAGCCAGTCTCCTTCCCTGATACTGTCAAGAAAAAGAGGTCAGGACATTTTGTTTTCCCCACTCTAAGACAAATGTGTAGAAATGACCAGGAGACCAAATGAGACAGTTGTCCCTTAATACTCCCTTCCAGGTGAGCGACTGTAAAATCCCTAGACTTCAGGCTTTCAAACAAGTTCCCTGGGATCCTGAATTGCCTGAGGGAGTCCAAGGCAAATTGGCAGGCACCCCACCCAATCAGATAGAGTCCCTTCCTGAAAATCTGTTCCAGATTCCAGGTGTTTGGGAACAGGGTCCCAGCAGGAGGTAGTAGCAAAGGCTTGACTTGAATCATCCTTTGGGTAATCACAGAAAGACCCATGGTCTCAGACAGATGAATTTGGTGACCCTCTCCATCTGCCCTGAGGCAATACTGGCATTGGAAGTGGTGTCCAAGATGCCTGACCTTCACAGCAACAGTGCAGGGGCATTGGAATTCTCCAAGCGTGCTCCAAACTATCCAAAGTCTCAATGTATTTGGAAAGGTTGGGTATCAAGAACAGTTTATCAATCTGTAATTACTGGAAGTAAAGAACTTACAAACTGGAATATTCAGGAAATCAGAAAGTATCTTTCTTTTGCATGGATTTGTGTGTGCACATGTTTATATGTGTGCAAATGCACATGTGTGTGCTGGTGCATGTGGAGACCAGAGAACAACCTCGTGTCATTCTTCAGGCACCGTAAACTACTGATTGACTGACTGACTTTAATTAACCTATTCTGAGGTAGGATGTTTCATTGGCCTGGCGTTCACTAAGTACACTAGGCTGGCTGACCAGAGAGCCCCGTCTCCCCAGCACTGGGATTACAAGCGTGCACAACCACACACCGATTTCTACATGGGTGCTGAAAAACCACATTCAAGTCCTTATGCTCACATGGCAAGCACATTACTGATTGAGTCACCTCTCCATACTTATTTCAAGATAAAGAAACTGAGCTCACTGTGAATCACTTACTCTGGTTTGGTTTTGAACCTTCCTACTCCTTCCCTCATTTGCGTCTTTTCTCCTCTCCCATCTCCTCATATCTCTTGCTATCTATTTCAACAAGGTATCTTTGGCTCCCAGGTAGCTTGTGAGGAAGAGTGTGTGAAGCGATGTTCTTTGGCTGTATGAGCAGGAGGCATGGAACACAATGTGCCAGGCCCTCTAACAAACACATAAATAGAAGTCATAAATTATTCTTTTCACTCCCAAGCAGCTTGGCGATATCATGGGAGGTAACTGAAAATGGCCCTCCAGTTCTTCTCATGAATAAAAAGATAAGCCAACCACACAATGCTGTAGGGTGAGGGGAGGAGTGTGAATTGTGAATCTGGCTGAAGAAGGAATCAGCTGCCCAAGGACAGTCAGCAAAAAGAAGCATATAGCTTCAAAAAGAACACATGGCAGGCAATGCAGATAAGTCCACACCACTGGGTTACACAGTTCACACTGCCAAACACTAAAATATGCATTTAGTATAAGGTATGTTTCTGCTGAGGACTGTGGACATCTTTCCCGGGGTCAGAAGAGATTATTCCTGTCCAGAGTTCATCAGGAGTCCTCTTTGTGATAGTGTTTCTGTTCCCTACCCCATCCCTTCTAGTAACATATCAGAATAAGATCACTCCAGTCAAAAGGCAGTGAGGACACCTGGCCACAAACACACATGGAAAGAAGGAAAGCTGGGCTCAGAAGATGGCTCCGCTGGCAAGATGCTTGCCACACAAGTGTGAGAACCTCAGTTTGAATCCCGGAACCAGGTAAAAAGTCAGGTGTGCATACAATCCTGGTGCTGGGGAGACAGAAACAAGAGCATCCCTGGGGCGCTCTGGCCAGCCAGGTGAACTTACTCAGCTAGCTACACATCCTGCTGAGAGACCCTGTCTCAAAAACCAAGGCAAGTGGCTCCCAAGGAATGACACTGGAGGTTGAACTTTGACCTTCACATACATGTACCACACGTGCATGAGCGCGCGCGCGCATGTGCGTGCACGTGCGCACACACACACACAAACACACAAAGAAAGTCATTGATACTGAAGGCTTCCATGACATTTATACTATCAGTAATATATTCAAATACATTCACTCCTTTGCTCCACAGTGTGACAGGCAGCACTGAGAAGCAGAAAGCTAATACAGGGGCTGCAGACAGGGCTTGGTGGTCAGGTTCGATTCCCAGCACCCACATGGTGGCTAACAACCATCTGTAGCTCCAGTTCCAAGGATCTGACGCCCTCTTCTGACATCCTGGGGCACTGCATGACATGGGTACACTTACACACATGCAGGCAATACACTCATACACATAAATAAAATAGTAAAAATAATTAGAAAGCTAACCTAACAGAATGCTGTTTCCATAATTAGCAGTCATTCCCACCAGGCTTTTCTGAATCCGTCTTTAAATTCCTGTCTGCACATTCTGGATTTTAGGCTGTGAGATCATCACAAGAAAGAAAAGTAGACAAAGAAAAGTATCCTTGGAGCCCCTAGTTAGGCTATGAGGGTTAATGATATCAGTCTGGTGGGATTTAAAATCACCATGGAGAAACACTTCTGTGTGTCTATGAGAGTGTTTCCTGACAGGTTTCACTTCAGAGGGACGTCCCCCTGAACACAGGCAGCACCATCTCATGGGCAGAAGTTCCTGACTGAATAAGGAGAAAGCACACGGAGCAGCGGCCATCCCATGTTCCTATCACCAGTCCTTCCCCACCACGACGGACGCATCCTTGAACCGCGAGCCACAATAACCCCCTTCCTTAAGCTGCTCTGTCAGGTATTCTGTCACAAGGAGAAAAGTAACTAATACACATACCGAGAGAACAAAAGTGAGAGAAGAAACAATAAATCTGGATGTTTTCAGTGAATGAAAGAAATTTAATCTTGATTTTCTCAGTGTAGCATCTCAGTTAAATTAGAAAAGGCATTTCTACTATTGTTTGAAACAAATTTAAAAGCATTATTGCATTTTCCAAATACATTTCCATCAAGACATACCTGTAGTTTTCACATGTAGATATACAGCCATGCTCAAAACTGCTACTGTATAATTACATAATATATACCCATTTATGCAAATGAGCTAGTATGTAAACCCAGTCCAGGCTCAAGCCCTGCCTATAGATCCCAGCAGGCTGGACCACCCTTGTGCATCCGTGGGTCTCCCCAACAAAGTTCACCTTGGTCCACCCAGATCTTTACCCTCCCTCACAAAAACACAAGCCAAACAGGGAAAGCTGGGGCAGTGGCAGACCCCTCCTCAGCAATGAGAGTCATCAGAGCATGGAGCTTTAATAGATCAGAGTTGGGGGAACTGGAAGCTTCTCTCAGGTACCCTCAGAAGACTGCACAACCTTCCTTCAGTGTGTGTTCTGAGCATGTACTATCCACAGGCATGGGCCAATGCTTTGGCACAATCCAAAGCTAAGGGCCTTGGGACAGCCTTCCTCTCTTCCCCTCTCCTCCCCTCTGCTCCTCCCTCTTCCCTCCCCCCCACTTTTTTCTTCTTCCTCTTCTTCCTCCTATTTTTGAGACAGAGTCTTGCTTTTTATGTAGTTGAACTTGGCCTCAAGCTTACAGGGATCCTGCTGCCTCAGCCTCCCCAGTGCTGGCATTACAGGTGCACAACACCACACCCAGGTCAGAAAATATCTTTAGTAATCTAATATAAACATGTTGTCAAACTATTAATTTACACACATGTAAACATACATCACTATAGCTAAAAACTATTACAGAGTTCCACAGTTGGTCACACACAGAGAATAAGTGTCTGTGAGATGCCCAGGCCTAAGTGACACATCGACAATGGAATCTCTACACCTAAGGCTCATGGACATAGTGGAATAGGGGGTAGAGAGAAAACTAGTGCATCTCTTAACTCTCACAAGTGAAGCTCCCTCATACAACAGAGGGCCATGAACACACTGGCCAAAGTGTAGATAAGAGACTGCAGAGTGCATGTCCCTGGACAGAACTCCTAGACTAAATCTCTCCCACCCAGGGCTCAGGGATCATTGTGGAAGAGGGGGCAGAAAGACTGTAAGAACCACAGTGGTGCATGATCATAAGGAAACAGAGTCTTCCAAGCTTCTGGTAACTTGCTCATGTGAACTTACAGCAGTGCTGACAGCATGCAAGGACCCATACAAACTCAATCAGACAAAAAGCCAGCATAGACCTGGGGAGATGAGCAGGAGGTCCCAACCTTAGCAGTGGAACTATTGGCAGCCGATCACTGCTGGGTGGGAGAAAGTTAATCTTCTCTAAGGGATGATACTAGACAGGCTGAACAGGCTCCCGTGGATAAACTCACACTAAGGTACATCTGGGAACACAAACTTGACTAAATAGGCCTTAACATGTATGACAGAATGCATGAGATCTAGTAAGCAGGCTATGGGGGATAGATGGGGAGGAAGTCCAAATATGATTAAGATGTATGAAATGCACAAAAATTCAATAAAAATATATATTTTTAAAAAGACACAACCTTTGGAGATGAATAGAATGGAACAGACTCTGCCAACTATGATTTACTATCAGTCTGCTACAGTCAGGCTATTGGATCTTCTATGACACTGTGTCTTCATCTATGAAGTAGGATTATTACTGACCTTTTGAGGGTTCTTATAAGGTATTATGTGTATGTCAGAATAGCTTTGTTTGCTAAAGAGAGAAACCAAATGGCTTAAAGAAGACAAGGATTTGCTTGGATTACACAACTAAAACGCTTCTAAGCACATGTGAACTTACAGCAATGCTGACGACACGGACTTCAGGCTTGAGCTGCTCAGGGCTCTGATCTCATTTCTCTCCAGTTTCCCATCTCTGCCCCTTCTGTCTAGTGACTCATCCTGAGGCTGGAGACTGTGGTCACAGATGACTGCAGCAGTAGAAGTCTGGCCTCCTCGTTTCTCCACAGCCACCTGAAGAAAGGTCTCAAGTTTCACCTGGTCCTAACTGCTGTGGGCTACACTCCACTCTAAACTCCTCATGGTGGCTGACAAATGCCACATGGGTGCCTACACACATCTACACATGCACACGGACATGTGCACAGCTACACACACATCTACACATGCACACGGACATGTGCACAGCTACACACACATCTACACATGCACACAGACATGTGCACAGTTATACACATCTACATATGCACACAGACATGTGCACAGCTACACACAGATGCACTTACAAATACATATTCACTTGAACTTACATGGTTATAGAGATTTAGTCACTTTATTATAATCTCCAGACTGTCAAAGAGAATATTTCATATTCATCTTTGTTGAGAAAGAGAACTTAAATTTATTAATTTTCAAATGACTTTGTCTCCATCCCCTTAAAAACCAGAAAATACATGGAAGATCCATTGGCTGGAAAAAGTAATGCCCATTTCAGTGTGGCTCCGCCCTCCTGTTTTCCCAGACGTCTCTGGCATGTTGCAATGAGAGTATCTGAAATGTGAGATGGGCACGAACAGGAGTGACTGACAGCCATGTCTTTTCAAGTGCTAAGGTGACAGAGTGCTGTGAAGGAGCACAGTCCAGCAAACACGTCTGTCCTGAAAAACGTGGAGAAGTAAACAGAATGCTGCACACTACCATTCTAGAATCCACACCCAGGACGAGAAGACCCCATAAAGCCATCCGCAGGCTCCGAGAAGCACCTCCACGGATGCCACTTTGCAGCCCTGCAAGGCTCTGTGCGCTTGACAACACATGATTCCACCAGAGGGTGTACAGCTCAGGAAACTGTCCAGGCCAGGGTCTCCACGGGGCTCCTAAATGTCCAGTATCTGAAACCTGGATGGCCTGGCCCTCTCCACCTGCGCCTTCCTCCAATACTACAGAAGAGATGCTGAGCTGACCGAGCTCCGCTTTCTCCCTTGATCCTCTCCCAGGCCTTTTTTCTTCTTTTGCCTCAAGTTTTCCAACATCCATAAGAAAGGACTCTGCTCAGCACCCTGAGAGAAAGGGCCAGGACAGCAGAAGGCAGCCTGCTGACTGTGCAGCAGAGCCCCAGGCACCCAGAGAGTCCTTGGGACGGGTCAGGTGTGGTGTGGACAGGTGTGATGTTAGAGGAACGGAACAGTGACTAACCGTTTCTGTCATCTCAATCGGGAGATGGAGAGTCATCCTTCTCACTACTGGTATAATGGTGAGATTTCAAACTCACAGCTCTTCCTCAGGAGAAAAACCTAACCTATCAGGAGAGTGACTGGGTCACTCCTGTAAAGATGCATGGTAGCGCCAAGGGACAGTGGCACCCCGTCCTTTCCCCTTCCTTTGTGTTCCTTCTCCCTGGCCCTCTCTCCTCTCCCACTCCTGAACCACTACTGCAGAGCTTGCAGAGCTTGCAGGCCGCACAGAGCAGGAGCAGCCAGGGGAGATGGCACCTTCCCTTGCATCAACTCTCAGAACCCACAGCACTTGTCCCCAGGTGCCAGGAAAAGCAGGGAGAGCCATCAGGAAGACATCTAACCGGAGGCTCGGTGGCTTCAACCTGGTTCCTTTATGCCAAGTGGCATCTGAAGGCTTCTGTTCACCTTGAATAAACCCACTAACCTGTGTGCCATGCTACTGCCAATGCAATCAGGTGGCTGGTCTGCTGCCTGGCAGTGGTGTGACTGAGTTCTTAAGACTTCAGAGTAATGAAGAGACTGCAGCTCATCCAGGAAACAGGAGGCTTTCTACGAACAGTCCATCTCCTGCTTTAATCTGCCTGTTTTCCTGCCTACCTCTGTTTTGCTGGGCCTTGAAATTCTGGCATCGCAGAGGGTTTCCCAATGATCACACCCAAGCTTGTCCTCCTCTGTCCCACTGGCCTTGCCTCACATTTCTCCCTAGTACTTTTTGAGATGGTAACATTTCCTATGACCATTTGTTTTCTGCCTTCAACACTAGAGCGTAGATGCCACAAGACTAGAACCAGCACTCTAGCCTATTCACCCTGGGGGCAGATGCTCAGTAGATCTTTATGGACAGAACGCTGACACAACTGAGCCCTCTGCATATCCAGGGCTGGACACAGGCAGGGCCCTGCAGGGCCACACAGATACCAGATCAGACCCAGTGTTGTTTTCAGGCCTGTAGCCCTAAGTACAGGAAACCTCTGGGTCAGCTGTGCTGCCCAGCCACTTCCCAGATAGGCTGAGTCTAGTCTTCATCTTCTATTCTTTAGGCCCGTCCTGCCCAGACCTCATCCATCTATACCATACCTCTGCCTGCACTGTGCCTGCTTCTGTCTTGCTACACACTAAGATCATGCCACTGCTGGTGTGACAAATGACCACAGCCTGCACCACACTCTACAGTGCAGAAGGCCAGAGTCTCTTGATCGCTCTGCTGGTATTAGCAGGGATGGTCCCTCCTGGAGGCTCTGGGAAAATCCTCCATCTCTCCCTCCATCACTACATCCCCTGTTCCTCTCCTGAGATGATGTCGCCTCTGCCTCCTCTTATAGGAACTCTGGTTGTTACACTGAGGGCCCAGGATTGTCTCCTCAGTTCAAGAGCACCACTTTGATCACACCTGCAAAATCCTTTCTGTCTGATACAATAACATCTACTGGTCCTACGGATTGGGCTATGGCTGTCTTTGGGTCATTAACGCTGCATCTCAGCTGGTCCATCTGACTAGGAAACAGGCATTCACCAGGGGCTGAACCTGGCAACCTTTCCACACACATCTTGGGAAATATGTCTCCCCTCAGGAGCCTGCTTTTCAGACTGCAACTGACTTGATGCACAAATATGTGGGTCAGAGACTGCAAGAGGAGAGAAGACACAGGAGGAAGGGAATTTATGACAAAGGGGGAGAAAGGACTTAAGATTTCTGAGGATATTAGACATACTGCCTCTGTCCTACTGAGAGAAGAGTGGGACGATGGTCATGATGGACAGAACTACTGACCCTCAGAGGTTCACAAAGTCATGCTCTTCCTGCCCAGCGGCAAAATGAGGATTCATGAATGTTGTTCACACACAGCAGTTGACCTCTGCCTGGACAGGTCAAGTAGGGTGGAGCTGTGAAGCAGGGAGGAGGAGGCTCCAGGATGAGACAGAAAATGCTGCCAATCCCCTTCCTCAGTTGCATTCTATGAACAATCAGCAAGACCTACCAAGGTGCCCTGAGGAAGTTGTGGACTGCACAGAACACCCAGCCACAAGCAGGCGCTCTTCCTGCCCAGCCACAAGCAGGCACTCTATCTGTGGTGGAGATGGTCTTGAATCATGCCCTCTCAGCCAGCTTCTGGACCTGAATACTACACTCTTACTGGCTCTTCAATGCCTTCTGAAGGACAAACAGAAGGTACTTACTGCCTTGGGGAGTGCCACTGTGTATATGCACAACACAGACTGAAGTCTTCACACAGTCATTCCCGCTCACCCGGGTGCAGCTTGATGGTGAGACTATACAGTGACTAGTCATGGAAGGGAGGTACCGAGGCACGCTTTTATCAGTATTTCCCATGTAGTATGGGGCTCAGGGGCTAGAAGGAAGTGACAGAGTTTGATCACAGCCTACTAACTTGCCACATTGGCCCTTACCAGGTGCTCACCAGGCCTGCTGGATAGGCTATTTCACTGCTTCCTGACAATCCTCTAAGACAGGAGGATGCTAATTTTACAGTGGAAGGAACTAGGATGAGCAGGTTGTCATTGGTGACCTTTGTCGAAGTCACACATGCAACAAGTGGCTGACCCAGGACTCCAAGAATGAGTCTATACTCCAAAGGAAGGATCCCAAAGCCCATATCTATCTTCACCATGAGCCACTGGCACAGACAACCTGACCAACTGTCCAGAAGATATTGCAGACATGAGGGAAATGCCATGTATTACTAGCCAGGCCCACCGAACTACCCAGCAGGCAGTACACTAAAACTCCTTTCTAACCAGCACCATGCCATTGGAGTGCTTGGGCAAATGACCCTAGTAATAAACCTCAGAGGAGAGGATGAGTTTGAATTCCTGATCCTCCTGCCTCTACTTCCTGAGTACAGTGATTGCAGTCACGTACCACCACACCCAGTTTTATGTGGTGCTGAGGATTGAACCAAGGGCCTTGTGCATGGTAGATAAACACTCTACCAACTGAGCTACATCCCAGGCTTAAACTTTCATTGTAAGGAAACTTAGCATAGTTGTAACCTAGGAGAGCTGACTCTAAAACTACCCGAGGAAGATGTATACCCAAAGGAGAAAGGCAAAGGGGGCTAGCAAGAGGGAGAACTTGTGTGGTACAAAACGCTTGGCAGAGGGTCTGGCCAGCTAGCTGGTCACAACCCCAGGGGGAACCTAGTACAGCTTTCCTTGACAGGCCCGTGTCACTTGCCAGGCCTCTAGAGGCCTGAGATGCCTACCACTGCAAGGAGAACCCTCTTTCACAGCTGAAGATGCAGGTGCTCCAAAGGATCAAGTAAGTGGTCTGACTGAGGGCAGGAAAGCAGTGTGAGGTCGCCAGGCAGCCTGCCTGTAGTTCTGAGCATGCTCACAGCGGACACTCACCACTGTGCAGGGTGGAAAGAAGACACAAGGAGCTTCCGCCTGTCATCACAGCACACTAGCATAGCACTGCCTTCACCACTCAGCAGCCGGCATGAACAGCTTCTCCTATAGCTGGGAACTGGACAGGACGATTAGAGTTACATACCAAATGCATGTGCTCTGACCCTGACTTAATCACATCACAGCTTACTTAACGGGCTGCCTCTCCATGTCTTCATGTTTAACCCAACAGCTTTAAAGCACAAAGACGTCAGCGACAGAACGCTAAGGAAGAGCACTGACGAGTGCAGCCGGGTGGCCAGAAGCAGAGGCAGGCCATTCAAGAGAGTATCTGCAGCCGGACCTTAGCTTTGCTTACTCACACAGGTTCACGGAATCTTGAAGAAAATGTATTTCTGGCCAAACTCC